GTGGGGACAGTGGGGAGAGTGGGACCTTGGTGGGGACAGTGGTGGGGACAGTGGGGACAGTGCGACAGTGGTGGGGGCACAGGCGGGGACAGTGGGGACAGTGGTGGGAACATTGGGGACAGTGGGACAGTGTTGGGGACAGTGGGGACAGTGGGACAGTGTTGGGGACGGTGGTGGTGGGGACAGTGGTGAGGGCGGTGGTGAGGACGGTGGTGGGACAATGGGACAGTGGTACAGTGGGGACAGTGGTGGGGACAGTGGGGCCAGTGGGACAGTGGTGGGAACAGTGGGGACAGTGGGACAGCACAGTGGGAAAGCGCTGGGGACAGTGGGGACAGTGGAACAGTGGTGGGGACAGTGGGGACAGTGGGTTAGTGGTGGGGACAGTGGGGCCAGTGCGGAGGGTGGGGCCGTGGTGGTGACACTGGTGGGGACAGTGGGGACAGTGGGGACAGTGCGACATTGGTGGGGGCACTGGTGGGGGCAGTGGGGACAGTGGTGGGAACAGAACAGTGGGGACAGTGGGACAGTGGTGGGGACGGTGGTGGTGGGGACAGTGGTGAGGGCGGTGGTTGGGACGGTGGTAGGGACCAGGGCGTCGTTTGCCGGCGGCGAGTTGGTGGTGGGGGATTCGAACTGGTAGTGACCCCCCACGCTTTTTCGTGGGGGGGGGTTTGAACCGGTAGTGACTCCCCCCAGTTTTCCGGAGAGGGGGGGAGGGGGTTGCGGGGGGGCTTGGGGTTTTGGCCCGGTGAGAGGAGGGCGGGGGGGGACCCCCGGGTTCCGGAGGAAGAGGGGGGGGAATTTCTACAGCAAAGCGGCGGTGGATCACGCTCTCTCCCCCATAGGTAGCTCCACCGAAGGCTCCAGTGGCTGCGTTCGCATACCTTCTCCACAGTATATCGGCGCACCCCCCACGTTTCGTGGCCTCATGAGGAGCTCCACCGAATTCCCCAGTGGCTGCGTTCGCATCGCTTCTCCGCAGCATTTCGGCGCACCCCTCATACGTTTCGTGGCCCCATAGGGAGCTCCATCGGACCGAAGTCCCCAGTTGCTGCGCTCGCATACCTTCTCCACAGCATTTCGGCGCACCCCTCACACGTTTCGTGGCCCCATCGGGAGCTCCACCTAACGCACCGGTGGCTGCATCGGCATACCTTCTCCACACAATTTCGGCGCACCCCTCACACGTTTCGATGCCCAATGGGGCAGCTCCATCGAAGGCCTCAGTTGCAGGAATTGCATGCGTGACCACGCTCATTTCGGCGCACCAATCACACGTTTCGTGGCCCCGTAGGGGGCTCCACCGAAGGCCTCCATGGCAGGACTCGCGTGCGTGACCGTGCACATTTCGACACACTCCTCACGCGCTTCGTAGGCCCATAGGGAGCTCCACCGAAGGCCTCGCCGCCTGTTGTCCTCCAGGGCCGCGCCGACAGATACGCAGATCATCCGAAGCAGGCTACATCCAGATGTAGCCCGTTACGGTTGACCTCTGCGACCCCATCGGAAACTTCGCTCCGCCCTCCCCACGCACGCCTCACGTAGTCCGTTTGCCAGCCCCTTCTCTCAGTTTCCACCTATCTTGCGGTAAGTACTCACGCCTGCATATGGTTGGGTCCCTCGCCAGGGTCCTTTACTTCATGCTTCGTTGTTCTGACACGCGCGGTGCGGCCTGGGGGCCGCATTCGGCCGTGCGCTGCGCCATGAGAAGACCACAGAATTCCACTGTTCCACGGGGGCTTGCGATGCACATTTTAATCGAAGGATTGGAGGAGGATTCCTTATAATTTGCGAAGGGCCAGTCGGAGTCCTTGGGGGTATTGAGAAATTCCGGCTGAATCAATGGAGTTTCTTCAAGTTTCTGTCGGATTCCCAATGGGATTCCTTGGGATGTCTTTGGGGTTATTCCAGAGTTTGCAATTTAAGATGCCATGCGGGATCCTCAGGATGTCCTCGGGGTGCCAAAAGGACGCCAGTAGGACCCAATTCAGACCACATTCGAATTCCAATAGGATGGATTTTCGCGCCACTACGCAGTAGTTATCTGTCTAGATTCATGTTTCGGCAATTGTGATATCCAGCTGCTTCCGGCAATTCTGACACCGTGCCAGCGCAGCATTCAGGATGGCAGCTATTCAAGAAGGCAAGGGGGCCTGCTGGGGGCCTCCTGGGGCAGCAAGATCAAATGCTTGGTCTGTGTTCCCACTCTTCGGCCCTTATTGGGGCCCTCTTGGGCAGTCTTGGGCGCCTCTTGAGCCGTCTTGGAGCCCTCTTGGGCCATCTTGGAGCTATCTTGGGGGCCTCTTGAGCAGTTCCCGGGGAGTCTTGTGGGCCTCTTGGGCCGCCTTGGAGTGTCAGAAGCTATGGGAAAGCTATGGGAAATCAGTAGTTCCCCACATGTTTCGTAGGGTTCTGGTTATCTTATGTTTCGTGGGGTTCTGGTTTTCTTCTCTGCCGCGTCGCAACCGCGTCTTCCACCCGCCTCCCTCTCCTTCTCCCTCTCCTCACGCACACACAGACACACACAACACACACGATGTATGCGTACATACTGGGCACAGACATGAGGCACACGTCCCGATACGGCCGCACACGTATGCGCTACATACTGGGCACCCACGTGAGGCACACGTCCCGATACGGCCGCACACGCATCATCCACATACATATGACATGCCATATACAAGACGTGCGTGTAGCATTCGCACATTCGCAGTGCACGGCAGGCTTGGCACTTTCTCGACACCATAGGGGGTGCGCATGGTGTGGTCCCCGAGCGCGGCGTTTATGCGGGCAATCGCGCAGGGCATAGCAGGCGTGGCGCTTTCTCGACACCATAGGGCGTTGCGCAGGGGGTGGTCCCCGAGCGCGGCGTCTATGCGGGCCATGGCGCAGGGCATAGCAGGCGTGGCGCTTTCTCGACACCATAGGGGGTGCGAAGGGGGTGGTCCCCGAGCGCGGCGTCTATGCGGGCCATGGCGCATGGCATAGCAGGCGTGGCACTTTCTCGACACCATAAGGGGTGCGCAGAGGGTGGTCCCCGAGCGCGGCGTCTATACGGGCCCTGGCGAAGGGCATAGCAGGCGTGGCACTTTCTCGACGCCATAGGGGGTGCGCAGGGGGTGGTCCCCGAGCGCGGCGTCTTTGCGGGCCATGGCGCAGGGCATAGCAGGCGTGGCATTTTCTCGACACCATAGGGGGTGCGCAGGGGGTGGTTTCCGAGCGCGGCGTCTATGCGGGCCATGGCGCAGGGCATAGCAGGCGTGGCGCTTTCTCGACACCATGCGCGGTGCGCAGGGGGTGGTCCCCGAGCGCGGCGTCGATGCGGGCCATGGCGCAGGGCATAGCAGGCGTGGCATTTTCTCGACACCATAGGGGGTGCGCAGGGAGTGGTCCCCGAGCGCGGCGTCTATGCGGGCCATGGCGCAGGGCATAGCAGGCGTGGCACTTTCTCGGCACCATAGAGGGTGCGCAGGGGGTGATCCCCGAGCGCGGCGTTTATACGGGCCCTGGCGAAGGGCATAGCAAACGCTTTCTCATTTTCTCGACGCCAGAAGGGGTGCGCAGGGAGTGGTCCCCGAGCGCGGCGTCTATGCGGGCCATGGCGCAGGGCATAG